CTTTGGAGATTTTCAAACAGAGGCTAGATGGCCATCTGACAGCAATGCGGATTCTGTGAATTTAGGCAGATCATGAGAGGGAGGGCAGGAAGGGTTGCCTCAGTGCTTAGATCTTGTGGCCCTTTCTTACATGCCCAGGGAAATGCTGATCGCCACTGTAATGATTTCATGTTTATTTGTGTGGATGTGTCTTTAAAAGTTTGGTTGCATGGTGGTGAGAGATAGTCTAGAGTGTTTGAAACAGGCAAGTCGTGTGATTGGTGATTGGCAGAAAGGGGGAGGGGTTTTAGAAAATGTGTGTCAGTCAAGAGTTGCAGTTTACAGTTGATAAAGTTAGTTAAGTTCTGTGTATGAGAGGAGTGAGACACATCCCTGTGTGGGATAAGTTAGTTCTGAAGTCTGAGAGAGAGACAGTATGGTGTGTGATACAAGAGTTAAGTTTTGTGTATGAAGAAAAGTTGAAAGTATAAGGAAACAAGAAAGTAAAGTTGGAGAAACAGTGAACTTACATGACCTTGAGTTAGTGTTACAAAGTTACATGCCAAGATCCCTGACAGTGGAGAGAAAAGTGTGTGAAATACTCAAAGCAATTGTTCAGTATTTACCCATTCCTAGATACAGAGTCCTCCCACACCTCCTGAAACCTCACCCTCTCCAGGCTCCATCCCTCACATCTCCAGGAATTTCCCACCTGGAGTTGGCAACCCTATCTCCTTCCCAATCATCAACCTACCTTTATTTCCCCCTCACTCTTTAGCTTTCCACCCCACACACACCTGCAGCCTCTCCCATGCTCTGAAACCATGACTGCTACGTCACATTGGCTGTCATACGGGGCCCACTTCAGCAGCATATAAGGATACAGAGCCCACCATTTTCTCCAGGGGAACTGATCTCTGCCATCTGGAAAGCAGTTGTAATTCTGAGTGATCTCCAGCCAGTGTTCCCTCTAAGCTGAGTTAGTGTGAGCTAGCTCACAGTTTTTTAGCCTCCAGCTCACAGATTTTTGTTTTAGCTCAGGAATGATGGCTCCAGAGCAAACTAATTTATGCAGTAGCCAAATCGCTCACTCACAACTTTAATGCCAGTAGCTCACAAAGTAGAATTTTTGTTCACAAGACTCCACAATTTAGAGGGAACATTGTCTCCAGCCCTCACCTGGAGATTGGACACATTTTACCTCATAAGATCAAACTGTTTAGAATGTTAGAGGCAAAAGCCAATGAAGTTGCATATGCAAACGACCTCTGTGTTCCGAGGCAAAGGCCAATGAGGCTGCATATGCAAATAACCTCTGTGTTCTGACTGGCTATGGGGGGGAGGGGAACAGCAAACTGTTTAGAATATTGGAGGCGAGACTCAAGCAATGCAGCCAGTGGATAGGGACAGATTCTGAGTGACACACCAGGGCGCCAACCAATTTCGGAGCTTGTGGAATGTTCTAGAGAAGTGCCACCACCATTCGGCTTTTCTATATAAGGGAGATGCTTCTACGAAAGGCTGAAGAGTTTGGGATGAGACAACTAAGGGGGAACATGATAGAGGTTTATAAAATTATGCATGGGGTGGAGATAGTTGATGAAGAGAAAATTTTTCTCCCTCTCCCAAAATACTAGAACTCAAGGGCATCCAATGAAACTGAAGGGCAGTAGGTTGAGGATGGACAAAAGAAAATACTGCTTTGCAGTGCGTAAAATCTGGAATTTGCTACCAGAAGATGTAGTGATGGCCACAGGAATAAACAGTTTTAAAGGAGAATTAGATGGATTCATGGAGGATAAGTCTACCAATGGCTACTAGCTGAGGGAACCTCCACATTCAGAGGCATTAAGACTCTGAATCCCAGAGCCAGGAGGCAATATCAGGGGAAGGCCTCAGCCTCTATGCCCTGTTGTTGGCTATCCAGAGGAACTGGTTGGCCACTGTGTGAGACAGGATGCTGGACTAAATGGTCTGATCCAGCAGGGCCCTTCTTATGTGCTTATTACCAAAATAACAACCACACTGAAGCTTTAGATACCTCTGGTTGAATTATCGGAACCCACAAACTACCAAGTCACAGTTCTACACATAGTGTGAACGATCCCTCTGGCATTCAACACTTGCAGAATTCTACCTCATTTATTCCAGGTCCAATGTGAAAACCTTGTTGTTCCAGCCTATCATCACTCAGTGTTTTAGTTAAAAAAAATATTTTAAAGTAACCTAAGTAAACATGAGAAACTGAGATACAAGCATGTTAAATCTACAGAAACTGCCATAGGTACAAGCTTTTATAAACAGATGAAAATGCATGACATTCCTATTCCACCTACATTAAATCTAATGAATCAAAGTTCTAAGTCTTTCAGCAAAAGCACATGCAAAAAAGTGGAACAAAACACTTTTTACCTTTAAAAATGTAATGTCATCATCTTCTGTCAAGATCATTTCAATCTGGTCTCTCTCCCCCTGGATTTCCTTTTTCTTCCGGCCCAAGATGGTATGGACATATTCAAATTTGTCTTTAACTCTTTTCTCCTCTGCTGCTACCTTGGTCATTGCTGCTTTTTCTTCTTCTTTGATTAATGCTATCATTTCCTGGAACTCTGCCCTCAACAACTCCATTTTGCGGGCAGCTATCTCCTGAAGAGACAAACATTTGGAAACAGTTCACAGACGGTCAAGTGGGTGATGGGGCCAAAGGACAGTCAGTGTGCCACGCTGTCAAAAGTGGTACACTCTGATGTGGACTAATTCTTGTAAAATATCTGTGCAATCCTGCATGCAGAGGATGGACTCAAACTGGAGCAAAAATGACAGATAATGTACATAGAGCACAAACATCTCTGTCATCCAACTCCAAATTTGAATCAACCTGGTTTCCAATTTTCTCATATCTCACTACACATGATATACTGCCTGCAAACTCACATTATCATAAATGGTTGTTGTGAAACATTATTACAAAAGTTTGATGGGAAAAGACAATATTTGGCCTCGGCCACACGGGCAGGAAAATGCGGGGGGGAGGCGTGGCTGTTTGCCCCGGAGCAAACTAACGCGCGACTGCGCAATCAGGCTTCGGGTTGAGGTTCCGTCGAGCTCCCGTGGTTAGGGGGGAGGTGCCAATCACACACGCGGCAAAGAAGCGGAGCGGCGCAGCAAACGGGATTGTGTTTTGTTTTTAAAACTGAAATGTGCGCATGCTCCGTTGGGTGCTTGTGCACATCCGTGGAGACTTGGGGGGGGGACCTTTTTGCGAGGGGACATGGGCGGGGGCCGGAACTACCACAGGAAACGCGATCAGACGCCCGCCCTTGCCCCGCGGTTTCCGGAAACTAGTACCTCCAAGGTACTAGTTTTTTACCCCGCATCTTCGGCGGGAAGCCTCGGGTGCGCCACGGGAGCTCTACGCTTCCCAGATGTGGCGGTGAGATCGCGCCCGGAAAATCCACCTATCTTCCATCTCTCTAGCATGCCTAATGCTCCGTGTGACTGGGGCCTTTGTAATTCTTACTCCTCTAAATCTGCAGATCATTGATCTTATGTATTATAGAAGATCTTTCTGTTGAAATGTTAAGTTGTTCAATATTTCTGACTTAGTTATCGAGTGTTATTGAAATGCACTTCTATGTTAATGTATTTTTGTTAATGGCAATAGCATGTTATAACTTGCTTTGAAAAAATAATAATAATAAAAAAACTGGAGTAATTCTTCATAGGCTTGTTTTCCAAGAGTATGAAACTCCCAGAGATTCAATACAGCGCTTCAAGTAACTACTGAATAAAGCTGTCTGAATTTTTTTATACATAAAGTACTGAATTTTTATTCTGCCCTTCCTTCAGGGGGCTAGGAGTAGAAAGCACAGATTTTCCATTTTACCCTCACGACAATCCCATGAAGTAGGTTTGGACTAAGGACTGGCCCAAGGGTGCCTAGGGAGCTTCAGGGGGCAACTGAGGACTTGCACCTGTAGTCTAACGGTCTAACAAATACACCACACACTGTGTGTTTTGTATGCTTATGTTTTTACTGAATTGTTTACATATTTTATATGCACTATTTTTAAATGCCTTTTGATGTTTATCACCTTAGAGATCCTATTTAAGTGACACGGCAGCATGGAAATGTTTAAAATAAATACGGAGCTGGAAAACAAGGCACTAGAGGCATGAATGCCCGCACAGGCCCTCAACTCAAGTAACTTTAAATCCCACCTATACATTTCTACAACTACTAACTGATCTCCCAAATCATCATGAACCATTCATAAAAAAAGCGAACAACCAAAAAACCTAAGAACAGGCTGCAAATCAAACCAAGGTAACGGAACGACTTGGTTTTCTCTTCCACCAGAGGTAAGCCAGCTGCACATTTCCTAACACCCAAATCAAGCTATAATTAAAATAAATAAATTAAGCTAACTTACACTGGTTTGTTTCTGCTGCACCCGAACTTGATCCAAGGACTGTGAAGCTTTCTCGGTTAGAGCATAGACTTCTGTCAGTCTGTTCTTCAACTGAGACTGTTAAGGAATAGAAGGCTCCATTTTAGAATACGACAAACCATTAAGGCTACCCGTAAGACACTGTTCCAGTCTGAACAGCACTTCCTTCACCCGCTTGGGACAGTGCAAGGTCAGAGAAAATGCTCTGTTATAATCTTGCAGAGTGGAGCTGACTCATTCTCACGTTAAAAAGGTCAAATTTACAGCCAAGGTTTGTTTGTTTTTAAGAGGAAAACTTGAATACTGCTACCCAAGTCCATGCATGAAATATACCCTACTTTCTCACTTAAAAGGATTCCAAGCAGATCTCATATAACCAGGAATACAGCAAAATCAAGAGACATTGAGCATAAAATCTGTCGGTGTCAGTCAACAGAGTCCTATAAAGTCCATTCCAGGCCTTTCAAAACAGAAGGATGTAAACCAGCTTCCAAGAAGTTAGTTAACCAGCTAGGCTCCACCCACCCACCCCTTATCGAAAATGACCCAAGAAAGCTCTAGTTCTAGTGACCCAGGGGTCCTCAACATGGACACCATGACACTAACTACCTCCTTTCCTGGTGCTCACCAAGTGGTTTGAGAACATGGGTGAGGCCAGGTGCGGCTTTTGCCCAGAAGGTCTTCTGACTGGCTACTGGAGATCTCATGGCTATACAGATTTTTTTTAAAGTTGCTTCAGCAGCAGTTGCCACCTCAACACAAGTACCTTTACTGGGTCAATGAAGGGAAGCTGGTGCATGTAAAAATATTTTTAAACAGCATGGTCAAATGTTGAAGCATCCCTGACATTTTGTGGTTAGTGGAGGACATTTTGTGGTTGGCTTTGCTTACTGTGGCAGCCATTTTATAGTTCCACCACCACCCTGTGTCACGATTCCAAAGCTACCTGGAGGCTGAAAAGGGTTGGGGACCCCTGTTAAATTTCAAATAACAAAGCCCATTAAGCAGGGATTCCTTTCCCAAAGATGGATGGGAAGACATGAGAAGGACCATTTCTGAATCAAAACAAGAGATTGAGAAGTAGGTTTTGTGACTAACAAGGGCTACTGAGCTTAATATGTACTGAGATGCATCTTCATGAAACAGTGTAAAATGTACACAGACAACTTTCAGAAGGAGTTATCCCATAACTAGTGTGTGGAAGGGGAAACCTCTCCCCCACCCCATGCCACCTGGACACAGAATTCTGCCCATTTCTCTATTAATCTGAAAACAGGTCTCTGCCCCATACCCCGACCTGGATAGCCCAGGCTAGTCTGATATTGTCAGATCTCAGAAGCTAAGCAGGGTGTGCCTTGGTTAGTATTTGGATGGAAGACCACCAAGGAATACCACGATCACTACGCGGAGGCAAGCAATGGCAAACCATCTGTATTAGTCTCTTGCCTTGAAAACCCTACAGGTTCACCATAAGTTGGCTGCGATTTGAGGGCAACCCCCCTAAAAAAAACCCTTACCTCATGTAAACACATCCATATTTGCCCATAACTGGATGACAGTTGGTATTTCCCAACTAGCTCACCCACTCCTTTCTTCATGTCACTTCTCCTTACTTGACTAGTACTTCTGTGCTTCCCAACAAGCTGAACTGGCACTCCATACCACCTTGGGGAGAGGGGAACGTTTTCACGTGGCCTCACAAAAGACTGCACCACACTGGTTGGCACTCTCCAGACATGTTTCATTTGTAGTTGCAAAGCTCTGCGAGTCTGCTCACGTCCAGTAATCCCAAGGTACCCATCCAAACAATGACGGCCACTCCCCCAACCATGTTCCCCAGTAATTGCAGAAGACTCCCCAGAGATGTCTAATGCAGTGCTGAGCCAGGTGGAAAGGTCAAGCCTGCATCAACCTCCCTTCTTGTGTCCCTCTCCCAAATTCTCAGGCAGGCAAAGGAGAAGCATGGCTCCTGGCTCTCCTGTCCCTCAGCACTTTGGAAAAGGAAATCTCCTGAAGGCAGAAGACCACCCTCTCTGGTCTGGAATGGGCAACCCTTAGGGATGCCAGCCTCCAGGTGGGGCCTGGGGATACCCTGAAATTACAGCTCATCTCCAGACTACAGAGATCAGTTTCCCTGGAGAAAATGGGTGGGTCTGTGGCACTGGACCCCACTGTGGTCCCTGTCCTCCCCAGGCGCTTCCCATCCTGGATTTGGCCACCCTAGCAGCAACCCTGCCTCCCAGGGCTCACCTCCTTGGCCCCCTTGGCCTCTTGCAGAGGGACGGCGGTGCACAGCTTGTGCTTGACCAGGCAGATGCAGCAGATGCAGGCAGCGTGTTCCCTGCAGTAGAAGTCCAGGAGCTTGTTGTGGGCCTGGCACTTCCTCTGCTGCAAGTCCTTCATGGGCAGGGACAACTGGTGGCCTTGGAAGGCCGGGCTGTCCAGGTGAGGCCTCAGGTGCTCCTGGCAGAAGGAGGCCATGCAGGTGAGGCAGGTCTTGGCCGCCTCCGCCTCCAGGCAGCTGTCACAGGCCACCCAGGGGGCCCTGCTCCCGGCCCCCGAGCCCTTCTCCTCCCGGGCAGCCTCGTCGCCCCCTCCTTGGGTGATCTGGAGCTGCTCCACCACCTTGCACAGCACCGTGTTCTTCTTCAGCTCGGGCCGGCGGGCGAAGGTGCTCCTGCACTGGGGGCAGCTGAAGGCGTCCGCCCCGCCGTCCCCCCAGGTCATCTCCAGGCACGGCAGGCAGAAGTTGTGGCCGCACGGCGTCGTCACCGGGCTCTCGAAGACGCACAGGCAGATGGAGCAAGTCAGCTCCTCTTCCAAGCCGGCCAGGGAAGGGACGGACGACGCCCGCAGCAGCTCCGCCATGGCCGCACCGAGGACGGGCCGCGCCGACAACTTACCAGCTCCTGGGCGAGGAAAGTGAAACTCAGCGCGAGCGGAGCCGCTTGGCTCTTCCTCGAAATCACGTGGCAGGAGGGGTGGGCGGGGCCGGCTGCTGAGCGCTCCTCTGAAAGGGAACCGTTGCTCCTTGAGCCTTCCTGTAGAGACAAAAAAAGGTGCGAAGGCCCCCGGCTCCGTGGGTAAGAACAACGAGCCCCGGGCAAAGGCAAGTCCGCGACGCACGGACAAGCGAAGCCTCTTGGAAGTTCTGCCTGGTGTGTAAGTTAACAATACCCAAGGGCTACCGTGTAACTGATGAGGCTAGGTAACTAAAGCGCCGTGTATAATGATAATATGTACTGTATTTTATGAGGTATGATCACCATAAAGAAGACTTACACTTCCAAAATTAAGATAGTTTGTTATTTACATGCAATAATGCACCATTAACCGTGTGTAGATTCTAAAAATACAATGCTACAACAGCAAAAACTCATCATTTATACAGAATATGCCAAAAAGAAACTATTCAAATACAAGCTTAAAGTAGCAGTGTTTCTTAAGTCACATATAGAAACTCAGAAGATGCTGCACTGAAGCTTGAAAGACTACGGGACCAGTAAAAAAATCCCATTTCACAAATTCTTCCTCAGGTTTTAACAGCAACAGACACAGACTTCTTAAATTTAATAGTGGAAATCTATGTTCTGCCCTAGTTACATGATAGCACAGAATACTGAAAATGTCAACTCCAAACAGTTTCACCGAATTTACACCATTTCACAAGTGAGGGAATCACCAATCAAAAATTATGTATGCGATACTCAACCTATAAGAATTCACAGCTGTGAGTTCTTGTAGGTAGAGTACCATGTACATCAGTCTTTCAAATTCTGTGAAACACTACATGATTTAAGAAATCCTGCTACTTTAAGCTGGTATTTGAATAATTTTTTCTTGGTATATTCTGTTTGAATGATGAATTTTGCTGTTGTGGCATTGTATTCTTAGAATATGGTGCATTATTGCATGTAAATAACAAACTATCTTAATTTTGGAAGTTAAGTATTCTTTATTGTGTGCAAGTTATGCAAGCACTATCCTGAAATACGGTTGCTCAGAAGTCAGCCCAACAGATTTTGGTGGAATGTATTCCCTCGGTCAAAATGTGTTTCGGACTGTAATCCAGATCTCTGCTGTACTCACATCTTGTCTCTATATACACAACTTTATTTGCTGTAGCAACCGAATCGTTAGCAAATGTTTGTCGCTGGGTGGATGCGACAACCCAGTTGCAAATGATGGCTTTAGTGCAATATGTGGATGTAGATTTAGACTAGCGATACACATGCTGTGGCTCACAGCTTCATTAATTATAGTGAGCCAAAAGAGATACGTGCAATAATATAAAATATAACTATTAATATCAAATGCTTGAGTGGAAGCCGCCCTGAGCCTACTTTGCGGGGAGGGCGGGGTATAAATGAGACAAATAAATAAATATAATTCCCAGAGTGAAATAGGGTTGCCAGTCTCCAGGTGGTTTGGAAAGAAGTAAACATCCATGATGTATTATGCCAAAAAAGTCTCCAAAGACCGAAAATTTCTTTTTTCAATATTTCAGTTTACTGGAAGAAATTCAAACGCCATCAACACAACAGATCATGCATATTATCTCGTTTCGTGTATAACTTTTTCAAGGCTACTCATCTTGAAAAAGTTATACACGAAACAAGATAATATGCATGATCCGTTGTGTTGATGGCGTTTGAATTTATTCTAGTAAACTGAAATATTGGAATTATTGGAAAAAGAAATTTCCGGTCTTTGGAGACTTTTTTGGCATAATACATCACGGTTGTTTACTTCTTTCCAAACTTCCATCCCGTGATCTCTCTTTGTTTTGCAGCAGTCTCCAGGTGGTGGGTGGAGATCTCCCAGAATCACAACTTATCTCCAGGTAGTAGAGATTAGTTTCCCTGGAGAAAATGGCTGCTTTGGAAGATGGATTCTATGGCATTGTATCCTGCTGAGGGCCCTCATCTCCCCAAACCCCTCCCCCCCCCCAGGCTCCACTCCCCAAAATCTCCTGGGATTTCCCAGCCCACAGCTGGCAACCCTATCAGAAGGTTGTCTCTCCCCATGTTAAGGAATGAGATTGATACTTGCTTTATGGACTATGTTTATTGCTACACACACAATGGACTGTGCACATATACCCATAGGCTCAAAGAAAGCTGTACAAGTCAGTGACCTGTCGTGATGCAACACATAGAAGGTGCCTGCACAAGCCTTACATGTGAACGAGGTTTCAGTTATACAGTGAACAGCCTGATGAAGAAGCACACACCTCCATTATTGTGAGCAGTAAGAAACAACAGCTTTGAGAAGACACAGCCCCATTGTAGATCTAGTTGGGATCACGTACAACACATCCATGCTTTGTTCTACATTGGCATTTCCTGCCAAATGGACATTTGCTTCACAAAGAGGATGGCCGGTTGGATCAGCACTTCAGTGGAGCATCCTGACGCCAAGGTTTCACACCTGACCAGATGGCCCTCTTTGAGTAAGGTTTTAGATTTCAATATTGACCACTCCTTATAGGCAACCTCCCACTCCTATAGGCAACCAATAGAATTAGTTTTGGGACGGACTAACAGGAAGGTGGGCCAGGAGGTTGGCACCGTCAACACCTCCTGGGACCCCATAAAAGAAGAGAACCAGTCACATGGTCTCTCTCTCTCCTACTTGATCAACTAGCATCTCCCCTGCAACACCCCCCTCTGCTTTATACTCCCCTTTTGTCCAGCTTGCTATCCCCAACCCTTGCCTCTACTGCCCACACATGCTGGCTGGTTCTAGTCGTGTGTCAGACTCCCCTATATTTCTGTTTTCTCCCCATCCATTCTTCATTGGGATCACCAAGCTGTGAAGACAGATAAGTATCACCCATCATCAACCTTCCCTGCTAATGCAAAAGTGCTTATTTTACTACTGTATTTTTAAGGAACTTGATTGAATGTGTGCGTGCATCAGTATTTGTATGTGATATATTTTCTTAAGTAAAAGACATTTATTTTAACAACACCAGCCTCGACTCCCTCTCTGGTAACCCTCGGTGGGAACAGGACCTTGGTATAGTTGGCAAGCACCCAGTTTAAAATTTGCCAATTGCTGTAGATAAAGCAATTCGGCTAACACCCACCAGTCTTGAACCTAGTCAGACCTCCTGCATCTGAAGTTGAAGGGAAGGGCTTGCAAGTCAGCCTTAGGACACAGAACAGTGCAGCCTTCCAAGTTCTCCATAACTCTTTATTGAGCTGAAATTTGTTAATAAAATATTTATCTTAAAAGCAACCTAGGTTCTGGGATGGGAGTTCAGAGGTTGCATGGGGGAGGGGGGTTGGAGATGATGGACTTTTGGTTCTATCCCTGGCATGAGACCCAGAGTTCAGGGAGGCTTGTGGCTTGTCTTCCAGTTTTTGCATGATAGGAACTACGTGCCAACCACAAGCCCCACTGGAAATTGGCCTTGCCTACTTTTCTGAACCATGGAGCAAGTGCCAGCCTTGGTGTTTAGTCATGCCGGCCACATGACCACGGAAACGTCTTCGGACAGCGCTGGCTCTTCGGCTTTGAAACGGAGATGAGCACCGCAACCCTAGAGTCGGATTCGACTGGCTTTCGAGCAAGGGAACCTTTACCTTACTTTTCTGAACTATGGAGCAAGTGCCAGACTGGGGAACAGTGCTCAAAAGAGCCATAGGTGGTTCTCAAGCCACTGAGTGATAAGTGCCTTAGGCATATTTATTTAAAATATTTCTGTGCTGCCTTTCCACCCAAACAGGGTCCCCACGGTATTGAACATCAAAATATTCAACAAAGTAAAACAGCATTTCAAATAAAGTATGTATAAAAGATTTAAACAATACAAACATATAGACATACAAACACAACACAACCAGGGAGGAGGGCCAATGAGATTTAATGGACATATGCCAAACAGAACGAAAGTCTTCACTCACTGGTGGAAGACAGAGAGAGGCGAATCTCCCTGAGGGTTTCAGCCCCACTGAACACTGTGGATGGGGAGGTTCATAAAGAGTCAGGTGGTCTTTCTGGCCCCAAGCCATATATGGCTTTAAACGTCCATACTGGCACCTTGAATTAAGCCTGGAAGCAAACTGGGAGCCGGCATAGATGAGGTGTACAGGAGAATGAAGCGGGAGGGAGCACGATGGTAAGGTGCTATGGTGGATCTAGGATTAACTCTGCGTTGGGAAATTCCTGGAGATTTTGAGCTCCCTGCAAATAGAAAACCAGCAAGCTAGGAGTTGAAGCTTTCTCTATGCAGTGCTTTTTAAAAAAATTGCATGGACTTATTTATGTAAAGGGACAACCATTGCCCTCCATTCAAAGTGTCCCATTCCATTCTACCACCTCATTTTCAGGTATGGGCAAACCAGGTATGTGGTGGGGGGGGGGGTTTTTTAAAAAAATTGCATGGACTTATTTATGTAAAGGGACAACCATTGCCCTCCATTCAAAGTGTCCCATTCCATTCTACCACCTCATTTTCAGGTATGGGCAAACCAGGTATGTGGTGGGGGGGGGGGTAGAACAGGCTGTTCCACTGCAGATGGTATGTGGGGTGTCAAGCCCAGGGGATGCTTCCCCACCCCAGCATTCCATCACTTCCTAGCCTCCCTAGTAAAGGGCAGGCGTCAGGGCCCTTAAGGCTGTGGCATATAGCACAGTTTGTTTGCAGTAACGGAGTCCCAGGTTCCCATTTTAAGGCTCTGGTCTTGCTCCCACAATTCCTTACTTGCTGCTTTTAGCAGCCGCTGCACCCTTCCTACAGGGTTAGGCATTGAGGTGAACAGGCCACAAGAAAGTAACCTGCTGCTGTCCTGATCAGGAATTCTGCCTCTCTGGTTCATGGGAAGGCCCAACCCCTTCTGTCTTCCCATGCCTTGCCAGCTGTCTGGGTTCCTGCCCAACTGGCTCTTTAGCCCTTCTGCCTGCTCTGACTTTTATTCCCTTTCCTCCTGCCATGCCCACTCCCCAGCTTTGTTGGCCTACATTTGAGCAGGACTTTACTCCTGAGGCAGCCTCTCCCTCAAGGAGGCTGACACTGGCAGCCTTTAGCCCTGCTTGCCTGCCTTTTAGGTGCCCTGGGGGCCCAAGTCCTGCATTTCCCTCATCCTAGTGGCTACAGTGCAACCTCTCTTGGGGCACTTCCAGGGCTCCTCTGCTTTCTATCCTGGCATGGAATATCACGGGATGTGACAAAGGGAGACTGACATTTGTAATACTCCACCTTGTACAAACTCTTTGTACATAAAAGATTAGCACATCAGAAAGGAAGGTTCTGTCGTAACTTTTGGCATGCACCCTATTTGGATGGAGACCTGACCTGGATAGCCCAGGCTAGCCTGATATCTTCAGATCCCGGAAGCTAAGCAGGGTTGGCCCTGGCTCGTATTTGGATGGGAGATCTCCCAAGGAATATCAGGGTCATGACACGGAGGCGGGCAATGGCAAACCCCTTTTGAATGTCTCTTGCCTTGAACACACCACGAGGGGTCACCATAAACCAGCTATGACATGACAGCATTTTCTTCCACTTCCACCATTTGGATGGAAAGGAGGCATAGAGATGTTTGAAGCAGAAAATTGTTTAATTCAACAGGGAATTATTAATCAAGCGAACTGCAACTTTCTCAGGATTTGAGCCTGAATAACCCAGTATGGAGAAAGATCAGGATAAATTCATGATCCTTTAAAAGATATGACAAAGTGGGAAATATATGAAAGAGACACTTTCCTGGAGAGGAGATGCACATTTGAATGCATTTTTCCCTTCTGTCAGGAAAACCACAAACCCATTCTCTAAATTGCCTTTTTCTTAAAATCCTTTCTGGTTCCTCATAAGAACTTTTCAAATGGTAATAATGTAGGTATGGCCTGTTTCCATGTTTTTAAAATTATTGTGCCATTTTAGCTAGTTGCATTTTGAACATGGGTAAGTTTGAACAGAAATTTGGGAAACCTCTCAGAAAAATCTGTGGGTGCACGCATTGCCCTGGATCAGGGCCACTTTGATTTATTTAAGGATATTTGCAAGAAGAGTGGCTTCTCATTAAGCAGCTTTAAAGAGATGAGTTCAAACATAACACATTAAACTATGATTTGATCCTATAAGGAGGTTAGGGAAGCTTTAAGCTTCAGAAATTCTTTTGACTGCAGTGATCTATGTAGTTACACCTTTTATGCATCTAACCATGATCTGCCATTACATCCAAAGTAGCAAACTATGGTTTGCCCTTGCTCTGCAAACTACAATTGCAAATACTGGTTAGTTTTCACCCTGCAGTCCTGGTTTGCAAGACAAGCAGAAGCAACTTAAAACTACTGCATGTGAGGGAAGAGCATGAGAACAATCTGTGCCAAACTCAAGAGATGCCCAGATGAAAGTGTAACAAAGAGAACCATAAAGAATGTGTAATGATTAAAAAATGGTCAAATAGTTTCCCAACAGCCAACCAACCAAACTGGAATGTTAAAGTAGTTTATGTATCACCTTAAGCTTACTGAATTTTTAAAATATCCTAGGGACATG